CCCGATCTTTAATAGTAGCCCCCCCCCCCCACACACACACACACACACACGTACACAATGTGGTGTGACAGGACATCACCTATTTGGAGTTTCACAGCAGGTTGGCATTCCAAGACAGCAAAGAAGAGAGATAATGTCAGTGAGCTGTTTGTTAACTCACTGCTTCATCCTGTTCCTGGGCCACAAAGCGTGAAGGCTATATTTCCTGACACAAACACAGTCCCACACTTGCATACCATGCACACACACACATACATACACATAGATTGCATTGATTCTCCCAGCCAGTTAGAAGACAAAAGCTAAAAAAAAACCCTGAATTGACAAAAGACACCCAAAGACATGACAAAAGCTACACACTCTCATGTTCACATGGATGTGACTTTACTCTTTGGATGTAGAAAGTGGGCCACACTGAGTGACAGGATATAGAGTGATGTCACATGCTTGAATTATACACTTGGAGGTCACAGCATCAACATATTTTTTTTCCCTCTGTATTTAAGTGCGCAACACATCTGAAATGGGGCTTCGTCTTTGTTCCTATGATGGTGGGGCTATATTTAAATTAACAAATCATAAAATTCATCCAGTCAGCAGCAGGAGAAAAAAAAAGCGCTTCTTAAAAACCACCCACACTGCTTTTTCCGCCTTGTTGCGACTTGTTTGTCTGTCACAGGAGGATTTTGTCTTCTGCCAGAAAAAATGCTCTCACACAGCTCCTCAGCTCTGGAGGATTGAAGCTGGTTACACACCAAAAATTCACAGAAAATGTGAGTGGAGCTCTCTTGCCCTCACAAAATGTGGACTTTCTTCCCATGTATATGCATGTCAGGTGCACCCACAATATTGTTGTCTCTTCCACGGGTGTGTGTTGTCACATGCAGCTGTTTGCACTCCAGTCTGTTGACTGTGAAGCGAGTTAGTGGAAATGGATCAGTATGGAGTTTCTCTGATTTATTCTTCACATCTGTCTTTGGCAGGTGTGTGGAACCACAGGCTCCTCTGTCTGAGCCTATGATGTGGTTATCAATACAGATAGAATGTGTGTGTTTGCAGGATGTGTGTTTGCATTTGAGCAAAACAACAATGAAAGATTGCCCCTCCCCTCCTCACACCCCCACCCTATGTGGGATGCGTCATATTTGAGCCCTGTGTAATCTAAGAGAATGTGAGTAAACCGACAGACCATTGGCAGTGGTCTTATGTCTGACTCCCTCTGGAGCGCTGACTTGGTGAGACTATCGGGAACAGGCCGAGACAACTTTGGTTTCAGTCTTACCACACATGGGTGTGCATACCCACTTACAGACAGTTACTCTTTCCCCATGTGAACTTTTCCTTTTAGATGTGGAACAACACGAGGGGTTGGCCGTGTGATTGGCTCATCCACATAGGAAGTGTTACGATCATAAGAAAGGGGGCAGTGGATGATATTTTACTTGAAAGACTGCAATATAGTGACCTCATTCCATTTTGTGCCTGCGTGCGTTGTATTCCACCTGTTGAAGTATGATTACAGTGCAGCAATGTCAAGACTGCGCTCGACTTAGGCTATGGTGACACTGCAGCTCTATTGCGTTTTGTTTTGTTTTGGTTTTTTGCCCAAATGTGACTTTTTTTTCTTCTCAAATCTGACCTGTGGAGTCTGAATGCTTCAGAGACAAGTGACATTCACCATGAATCTGCAAAGTTGTTTTCAGGAACAAATTTCTTTACTTTTGATTTTAATTTAACCTCACTTTTACATTCGTAAACACTGTGCCACGTGACATTAGAAGTCATATTTATTTTTGTAATGTGACCAAGTACACAAAAAAGATCGGATTTAACATTTGCCCTGCAGTGTGAGCATAGCCTTAGTCAACAATAGAGGCTCCAATATTGCGACCTTTAACTATACACCTTTTCATGGTGATGCCACGTGTACATAAAACACTTTCTCCGATGGTACCACGAGTAAACAATGTCATGATAAAGGCAGGATTAATGAAAAAAAAACCCAGCATACTTTGCTTGGGTGATGATTTTAGCCTTATTGCCTACCGCCGTAGTTTGAATGTGTGACATAACAATCTTTGTAAATTTCTTCAAAGGGAAACAGAATAATTTAGATTTCAACAGGTAAACAGATTGACATGAGCCCTGTTCACACGGCAAGATTTACTCCGACGCTGCACCGAAGTATTTTGATGCGATGTATTTTACACCGGAGCAAATTTTGTGGAGCGTTCACACGTGCAAAGCCGCTGAGCTGACAACTCCGGCGCAGCGTCGAAGCAGCTCCACTTGCGGTCACACGTGCAATTTCTGCTCCGGACCAAAACGACAGGAATGCGGAAGTAAAACAGGTTTGGGTCGGGCTTCTCTCTCGCGGACTTTTATTTATTTATTTATTTTTCTTTTAATAAATATTATGGTGGACACTATTCTGTCCTTGTTCAGAATAGATCCACTTGTCGGCAGTCGTGGAATAAAGACGTGTTTACAGTCAATCGTGTGTGCTCCTTATGACTGCCACAATATATGTTTTAAAAAATGTATACTAAAACAATGTGCGGATACTAAACTAAGGAATACTTGTTTTAAAACAAACAATTTGGATAAAACAGAGAATGCGCTGTAATTTAATTGCTATTTAACTGCTAAACAGGAGCGCGGCCGGCCAGACCAGTGCGCACGTATGTTAATTTCTATTTCGTTGTGCAAATGCATTGATAATGTTCATAAAAATATGTAGATTATTTTAACCGTAAGAAATCTTGTGTTTTTTTCTCCCAAAAATACTCACAAATAAAATATGAAATGTCGGGTTTGCTTCAGGCTCGGGCCTGCAAATCGGGCTCGGTTGACGTCACTGCTTTCTCGATTCTCGTCTTGATCGTGAGCGCTGTCTTCACCGCTTAAATCGCCGACACTTTTACCGGGGACGGGGGTCCATGGCCGGGCTTCGTCTGTGTCGCTGGCCCCCTCGCCACTGTCGGATTCCGTGCGTCTGGGAGCGGGCGTAGCGAGGCCACTCCCCTGCAGCGAGCATTTGCTCTGGAGCAAATTTACGCCAGTTGCGTTCACACGCGCACATTTGCTTCGGTGCTGCTTCGCAAACGAGCATTTGCTTCGGAGGAAATTTTTAAACCACCTCCCTGAGGTGGATCAAATTTAATGCGCACTAGGCTGTTGAGCGGCGCTACGTCGAAGTAAATTTGCACGTGTGAACGCTCCACTGGCGTAGAGTCGGTGCAGCGTCGGAGTAAATCTTGTCGTGTGAACGGGGCTATGGTTGACAAGATCATTGAGGGACTGGTGAAGTGAAGGTATTCTTGTGATCCTCTGTGTTCAACTAGTTACATAGGTGTCAAACTCCGGTCCTGGAGGGACGCTATCCTGCATGTTTCCGATCTCTCCCTGCTGCAAATGATTAGCTCATCAGCAAGCTCAGCAAAAGCCTGATAATGATCCTTATATTGTACGGTCTGAGTTTTTATATCCTAAAATTGCACAGCGCTTGTAACACTGAATTATTTTTTATTATATTAAGGACATTGAAACAACCCCCCCCCCCCCCAAACAATATAAGTTTTTATCATGATATCAGTTCAGGTCAACGGTAGTAAATCCTTTCTCTACCCGGAAGTATCCTTCCATCTATTGTTTACAAATATGAAATGGTCTATCTGAAATCGCACAAGGGTTATGTGTGGTGTGACACAGGAAATGGGGCCATGTCACAGGCAAAAAAAAAAAAAAAGATGTCTATTCTGTGGATATTAAACACAGCATTTTGACACAGCATTTTGAAGAAGCCCATCGCTGCTGACAGTCCTTTAAAAGGCACAGCTGGACGTTTGAAATGGCCTACTACATTTCGACCCAGGGGGAGCAAAATTACTCTGGATAGAGGAGAAGAGAGGTGAACCCAGAGAATAGCACAGCGCTGTTTCCAGTGACATACATTTATTCGTTTAGTGCAATACTTCTTCATGCATGCCCATACACAGACAATCATTGGTAACTGTAGTGAAGGAAGTGTCAAGATCATTTCCTAATGCGCAAGTGATGATGGCAAAATGGGCAGCCAAAGTGTTAAAAATTGAGCAATTTCACACCCAAAAAATAGCACTTTTGAGCAAAATTCCTTCCTGCCATTCCGTCGCTGGAGCTCCACCAGACAGCTAAATCCCCCCGTAAGCTTCAGATGAAGTATGTAATTCAATTTTTTTGGCTATGCTAACCAACACTGCATACAAAACAACTATACATTATGTAGTAAAGCTCACTTTTGAATGTCCTCAAGCAGGCTCCTTTAGTGGAGTGTGTAATTACTACACACTTTTAAAATCTCTCACTGCTGCCGAAAATGTAGAAAACACATCTCTTAATTGCATTCAATATGACATGATATTCATAATGTAGAGCTGTGCTGGTTATTTTTCTTGTACCAGTCTTACATTTTCTACAAATGTTTTTTAACTCAACATTTTATTCACCTAATTACATTTTCTACAATTTTTTTAACTCAACGTTTTATTCACCTAAGAGACATTATTGTCATTGCAGACGTAATTTGCGGTGTCAATTTAAAGTGCAATTTTTTTTTTTTTTTTGTTCTGTACATTTCACCTCTTTTTCACATTCAAACAGAGGTAATTGCAACAAGGCAATTGGTGGAGTTGTAATTAAACTGATTAATTGTGACCTGATTATCATAATTGCTTGTTGAATTGGCATGTTGCCTTACTTTATTGCCCAAGCATTTGCTTACAAGGGAAAGTGTTTTTTTTTCCCCTTGACTTTCCAGTTGTTAGTCTGTGGCGAGAGAGGCTGTTAAATAGTTTACAGTTTGAATTTCAAGTGATGCGTATCCGCAACCAACACATGAAACATCCTGCCTGTTGGATTTCAAAATAGTACGCAAATAACTGCAGACATCAGAAAAGTTTCATATGCTGCATTCGAAGCAACAATATTGCATGTTGACCAGGATTGCTTTATGCCAGACACATCTAATTGCCCATTAACAGCTCTTTCTTTTAAACTGTGCAATCATATTAATGGCTATTAATTTCTGTGGTGAGTGTTGATTTGAGCATGGTCAGTGAACAATTTTAACTGTAAGAACAATTTTAATGTGTAAGCCATGGCATCACTTGACTGCATTTTTGTTTTGGGGAGAATGTGATGACATTTTTATGTTGGCTCAATGGACTCCATTTAGCCTGGTGAGAGCTGTGTTATTGGAGGAGGAGCTGGGCCTTACTTTTCTGGAATTATCTACTCAGTCCATCTTGAAAGCTTGAAAATATTTTCTGTCACAGTTACTTTGCACACAGTAAGCTGTGATATTTCATTATCAAACCCACACACATAGTGTTTTGGCTGCTTTGTGTGATTCTGGTGTAATACGGATGTAAATATTTGACTGATATTGCAGCTTGTGTATGTGCGTGCGTGGGCAAGCGCACGCATGGGTGATTTTTTTTTATTTATTTTTTTATGGTACAAAGATGTCCCCAGGGGTTCTTTTACCCCCTTTTCTCATTACAAATGCGAATGTCACATTAATGAAATCGTCTTAGTTTAAGTTTCTAGCATGGCCTACACTGTGAGATTGGGCCTCTGCACTTCCCACATATTTCAAGTTGAATCATATTTTTCCTGTAGGCATACTATTCTGGGTTACCCCTAAGTGTGCCGGCTCAGAGTGAAACTTTTGGGGGTGGCGGGAGGGGGGCAAAGGAGTTTGTGTGCCAGGCTTTTTAGTCATTGGTGTCAGCGGAGGGCACTGGCTACCATCTGCCCAAAAGACGACAGTTAGCTTTTTTAACAGCAGTCATGGCCTGAATGAGGGACTGGCTAATGCAAACATTGTGTTAATGTGGTTTGTAGAGTCGCTAGCTGTTAATCATTTCTCAACATTGCGCTTGTCAGGCGCAACAACATACCAGGGAATTAATCACGGATATGAATGTTTGTTTATATGCAGATAACATACATAGGAAGCAGCTATCTTTAGATGCCATTACATTACCAATGTGTGTATAAGGTTACATTTGAATATCCACAAGTCACAAACTCATTAATTGTACCGTGTTCCCCAAATATACCCACCACCTTAGATTTTTAATAGCATTCACCTTCCATTTCAGACATTTGATCAAGGGATCTACACTAACTTTTGTACACCAGTAGTACTGGTGCAACCAACTTTTTAAGGCTGTGGTCAGTTACAGCATGATCATATGTGCTGATGTATAGTTGTCTTAATTGGCATTCTGTTGTTTCCTATTATTTAGGACTCACGAGATGATTTTTGCAAAATATTTAACAGGAACAAGAAGTTTGTCACAAAACAGGTGAATTATTTTACATAATTTTAAAAGAAGCCCAAAGAAAAAAAACGTTTTTGCTGTTCTGTGAACATTATTTTGTTCAATTGAGAGCCGCCTCCCTCCGAACCTGCTTCACCTGGGAAACCCAACAAGTTCACATCCTGCCTGTAATCAATTTAAGTCTGGTCCCGCAACACTGATTCAGATTCGGTCTTCCACACAATCAGAGTGCAGGCTTGCCATAACATTGGACTTTAAATTCTGTTGTGTGTAAGCCATTGTGGTTAAAAGCAGTTTTTTTTCTTCACCTGCTGCTTGGCCAATGTGTCCCTGTTGTTTTCATCATCAGTTAAGTCTATTTGGCACATTCAGCTGGCTCTCCTTCACCACCAGCATCCACATCTCTCTTCGTTTTGTTGAAAAAAAAATCTGTCATTCTGTGACGCACATATGCCAACCAGTCATATTGCAGCGGGTGGTGTCTTACATCACTCAAATGGTACATTCTGTGAGGCAGTGCACGCTCCCCGATTGCAGACTATATTATAACTAGGGATTTCCTGATCACACATTTTTGCATCAAGGTCCGACTCACCTGATTTTGAGGATGTGCTGAGTCCCCGTCTTTCACCTCGGCAATATATTAAAAAGGACTCAAGTCAAACATTTTCTTTACAATATGTTCTGTGCGGCCACACATGTCTAAACACATTATTTTAATTGATATTGGCGTTTGTGGAGTATAATAACAATATAACAGAGCTGCAAAATCCACCCACCCCTGCAGACATTACCATTGTTACTTGATGCTAGCTTCACGGTATAACTTCACTTTGCACGTCATATGCAGAGTCGTTCGACTTTTTTTCCTGACCCCTATTCCTATCTATCTATCTATCTATCCATCCATCCATCGAACCTTTATTTGACCAGGTAGATCAGTTTAGAATTAATTCTCATTGACAATTACGACCTCGCTGAGAGGCAGTTATATCAGCAAAAAAAGTGACATTCTCTTGTTTTAATTCTTCAGCAGTCAGTGTCCCATCACTGGTGAGCTATAACATACCGGCAGCCAACGTATGTTGACCTTGTTGGCTAAATAATATCCGCTGGCACCATGTGGTTTGTTTATTTTGTTTATGTTTATTTATTAGGTTATTTATTATTTTTTAGGACAATGCACATTAATAGGCATAGCCAAAGGTATTTGTGAATATGCTGGAGTTAGCACAGTTGCCCTCTGTCATCTTCCTCTTTTTTTAACTGCTCACCGCTTCCCTCTCTGCTCAGCTGAGGACGACAAAAAATTGCATCTTGTCACAAATCATTTGCTGCCATTGACAAATATACTTCTCAATTTTGATTTTCCATCAGGGATGGGTGGGAGGAGCTTCTGATGCTGCTCCAGTGTAAATTCTAAAATTTTAGATAGGAGATCAGCACAGGTTATGAGTCCACTGCGAAAAACGGCTGCCTTTTGCGCAACCTACCGTTTTTGTTCTGCTGATTACAAAAGAACGGAAAAAGGCAGAAATAAACTCAAAAGGACTCAAGGAGAGAGTCTATTCTTCCACCTCAAAAGAGGCAACTTGTTTGATTGAACCAAATCAGTGCAAGCTGCTAACAAGTCCGCTCACAAAACAAAAGAACCTCATAAATTACAATGTAATACACAATAGTCTTCGTAGAATCGCTGATGGTGTTGTGGTACACTCGCCTGGCTTGTGTGCGGACAGCGTGGGATCGGTTACCACCCAATGACGGTGTGGACCTGGGTGTTAATAGTTGTTCATTGCTGTCTGCCCTGCTGTTGACCACTTCAGGGTGTTGTGTGCCTTTCGCCTGACATCAGCTGGGCTAGGCTCCAGCACCCGCCCCCCGTGACCCTGTAATAGGATAAGTGGTTCGAAAATGCCATAGTGATAGAGTGGGCAATAGACCTCCCATTTCTTGAAAAGTTAAGATAACAGTGTTTTAAATGGTTTGTATCTGTTTCAAGTGTTTAGGAGAGGTTACAACTACCTAAAATATTTTTATAAGGTCTTTCTACAGCAATGGTTTAAAGTTGTGTGCCAAAGTACCACCCCCTAAAAAAAAATAAAAATCACATAATAATGACCAACAGTAAAATACAGCAGCACAGTCAGCATAAGTGTCAAAAAGAGACACTTATTAATATTCCTCAAAGTATATTTTACATTATTAGTCTCGTTATCATTATGCACAGTTTGAACATAAAGTCTAATTTATTTGAATTCACACTGAACTTCAGTCATAATGGCCCGCTGTAGGAAACCTTAACTACGATGTGGCCCATGAAAAATATGAGATTGACACCCCACGTCTGGGCAGTTACTATTTGGCGTACCACCAGAGGGAGCCTGTGCACTACTTGTAGTACTAGAAACGACACTGAGAATCGCTGCGCTACAAGAGATGACAAGATTTTCACATTTCGCGAGTGGGCCTGGAATGTATCCCCAGTGATAAACTGCGATAAAAGTGACACTAAGCATCACTTCCAAAAACTCACCAATTTTCGGACCTTCTATTATTGAGTCTTTTCACCTGTGTATTTGGTAGCATTTTTTTAACCGCCTTGCTTAACTTGGGCAAAGAAAATGTAAGAACACTAATACTTTAAAAGTTTCAACAACGACTGATAAAAGATTCCTCCTTGCAATTAAAAGCCAATTTGGTAAAAGTGATTACGTTAGGTTAATCACGGGAGATAATATCGTGAAAATCAGCATGGGAGAGGGAGATAAATTGTGTGTGTGCGAAGAGAGAAGGAGTGACAGTCCAGCCGCCATTACAAGCTGCTGATTTCTGCAGAGTGCTTCATAAAATGTCAGAGCGCCTCTCCCT